GAAGCTGTACCTGCAGTCAGACTGCTTCTCGCATCTTAACTCCAAGAGCACCTACCCCTCTAACAGGGAACTGCCTCTGGCCTCCTGTCTGTGCTTTATATAGGAGCCAGGCCCTGCCCCTTTCAGTCAGCTGACCTTCCCTGGTTGCCCCGGCAACCCACAGCTGTGCTCCTTAGTCACTGCTAGGGCTCCTTCCCTAGCAGTTTTCCCCTCTTCAGGCACAGGGCACCTCAGTGCTCTGTGACAGCTGGACATAAGGAAAAACTTTGCTGTCTGAGCCCCCAAGGCCTGGAGCAGACCCCCCCACAGAGGTGGTGCAAGCACCTACTCTGGACACTTTCAAGAAACATTTGTGTGCTTATCTTGCTGGGATCCTTTGACCCCAGCTTTGACCTGGGGCAGGGGGCTGGACCTGATGATCTTACAAGGTCTCTTCCAGTCCTAACGTCTATGAAATCTATGGAAAACTGAACATTTGCAGATGAATGGCTAAAAGTTTGAGACAATCTCAAGTTTGAAATGATTTCCATCTGTAATATCCTAGGATTTGGGATATTTTAAAGTTGCCTCAGTTTTAAGACAGCTAGAAGTTTGAAATAAAGGTAAGTTTGATATGGCACACCGTTTGAAATGGCCTTCATTTTAAGCTGTTTAAATTTATAAATTAATTTTAAAATCAATTACAATTTTAACTAGCTGATTTCAAACATTCATATCTTTAAAACAATTGCCCTTCTTTGCTTAAAAGTTGTCTTCATTGAATCTTAGAGAAGTAGGGCTGGAAGGGACTTCCAGAGGTCATTTAGGCCAACCCCTGGCCAGAGGCAGGATCATCCTTACCCAAATCAGCCTATACAAATTCATTGTCTAACCTACCAGTAAAACTGCACAGTTAAGCCTGACACAGCCACAAGGCATAACACCCTCACCTGCCACAGGAAAGGCAGGAGCACAACAGTAGCCAATGTCCTGCTAAGAGGGTTGTTAAAATATCCTTGAGAGATCCAAGAGGGCCCCAACCCCCCTCCTCCCTCAAGTCTGTACCAATCTGACCATGGCTTAACATTTCTTCCAGACTCCGATATGGTGATCGGTCTGACCCTGAGCAGAGGGACAAGACCCTCTAACTAGGAACCTTTGAGTAAATCTCAGCAGG